TGCTTCTTTTCATCCATTTTAATTTTTTGATCCTAGAACTTTACAAAAATAATATATTCCTAATAATTTTGATTGCTTAAATATATTCAAAATATTATGTATAATTTTAAACATAGCTTTAAAAATGCAAAAACTATTTGGCTACTCATAAGTGCAAGATTTCAAATGCATATACTCATTACGTATAGGAGTACAAGTACAAAGAAATTAATTTTTAATGTTGACACCACTTATACATTTAAAGAAGTACGTAAATGTATATTAGAAAGATTGAATGAATCATTGTTATGAATTATTGAGTACTTTACCTTAATTGTATGTTTATTGGTGTTGCAACGAATAGTATGTTCGGCCTCAGGCCGAATACCAAATATTCGGCTCGATTAACACACATATGAAAATTGGCACGCAAAACACATTATGGTAAGGACCTGCTCTCTATTGGCCCGCTGTCACTACGCTTCATCAATCACGTTAATTCTTGACAGTTGTAGCGGACAGACACAAGCGTCATGGCAGTACTGTATGTGATAATGATATCAAATGTGGATAACAATGAAATGACCTACACATGTAAATAACGGAAAAAGAAGAGAGAAGGACCGCCAAGTGAAAATGTGAAAATAAATATGAAATTGAGTTGATAACATAATCGAACAAGTCGAGGCAGCTTATTGGCGCGAAATTCATGGCTGTCAATGTCAAATAATTGTTGTCATAGACTTAGGAAGGCTAAATGCTTGTAATGAAAGTCACTTAGTGTGCACGGGAGAAAGCTTGGGGCCGTTTAGGCTACCAAGCTGTCTCGAATCTGTAAAATCATAACTGTGACTTATACCATCATCCTATCTGTCTCTTTTCTGCGTTATCACCAGGCTATGAGTCACGTAATTGTAAAATTGGAAATCTACGACGGAAAAGTGATGAATCGAAAGTATTGTGAGGGTGTATTATGATGTATGCATAGGCATACATGGACTAGAGTGATAGAGGGAAGAGCGCTTAAAAAGAAGGATAGGCAGGGTCAGACCCTCAGATGTGCGACAATTCTCGAACGAATGTGTGTACGTCTGCTGATCTTTGTAATTATAAATTGCGAATACATGTGACTAATATTATTTTCTTTTTTATTTTGTGCGTCTTATAAGTTATAAATAAATATAAACAAACAACATTAATTAGATAACATTAAATCTAAATACCAAAATGATTAATTTACTGTGTTTTTGTTATTTCTTACTCCTGTTTTTCGGTATTCAGCCGAATAGTGATTAAATATTCGGTATTTGGCTGAATAGCAAAAAATAGGCCAAATAGGCTGAATACTGAATAGTAACTGAATATTCGTTACATCACTAATGTTTATACAATGAGATGATTCATATGATTGCATAAAAACAAACGATATACATCTACAGATATTTGAATGGATTAAATACTGAAATAATAATTTTACTCTTTGCTGTATTTGGTGCCGTTGCCAAATGTAGTGAGGCAGAAACCATAGATAAAAGAAATAAAATAAGACAATTTGAAAATTATACTTCTAAGAGTATAATGCTTCTGTGCAAACCAGTCGTGCACACCATTACTTGACCATTACATTAACCATTACTAAATGCTTAAAATTTTTGATTTTTGTAGTATATTTTTTTACTAGCTTTGTAAGGAACCAAGTCTGAGCTTTATTTTTATTTTACTTTTATTTTGCTTTCATTATATTTTGTTTGGGGCTTATGTTTATTTAAGACGAAGGTTTCCTCACCATTCACCTTAGTAACTTAAAAATAGAAGAAAAACCAANTTTTTCGGAGTTTGCAGAATTTTTTAAAAGGAAAAACTTTTGAGGATGAGAACAATGTAAAAAAGGCTATTTCTGAATATTTTGATTCAAAACCGAAATCATTTTACAAAGACAGGATTAAAAAGTTACCATCAAGATGGCAAGAAATTGTACAAAATAATGTTGAATACATTATAGGTTGAAATAAAATTTAATTAAAATTTTTTGTTGCTTTTTTTGTAGATAAAAATGCGCACAAACTTATGGACTGACCTGATATATTAACAGTATAGTTAGTTATATACAAAAGCCAAAATCATTTATTTTTAGTAACATTTTGAACTTTTGTGTTTAATTTTAACCTCATAACTTGACTATACTATACAATAAAATAAAATAGAGAAGACACTGAGGTCGGTGTTACATGTACATTTTTTTATCGCAAGTACTTTTGACGAACTTATAGACGTTGTCATCAGGTGAATACAGAGATTTACCAAAAAATTAAACAGAAATAATCTGATGTAGAATAGAACGCATAAAATTTTAGGTTGAAACTTTTGTCAAAGCCGTTAAGAACACGAAACAAATATTCAAATATAATTCGAAAACCGAACGAGCAGTAAGCTCCATGATGCATGGGTTGGTGCATGCATAAAACCAGGCTCACGCTATATGCATACTGGAGAATGCTGGTATTTGCTTAAATGCTTGTATAGTGTGACCCATACACTGGGCAGATCAAGCATTGGGGTGTTGCACGTGTCCAAGATGGTAGTAAGGAGAGATTCCCTGATGAAAACAATTTTTTGATCCTTACAGCTCTTGAACATAGCCGCTTGGGATCATAGCGGGTTGTAACCCTGCTCAAGTACCTTTCTTGCGAGCTCGGTGGTGCCTACCCCTCACAACATCGTCTTGGTGCTCTTCAAGGCAGCTGGCAAGCATTCTAGTAGTGACCCCGATATATCTTGTGTTTAGCCCCGTTGCAGGATTTTCTAGAGGAACAGCATAGACCCCCGATTTCTCAAAAGTGGAAAATTTGTCTCTATAATTACAAATAAGCTTGCATAGGTTTGGAAGTACAAGATTGCACTGCCTAAAGATTCTGCAGATGCGTATATAGGGGGGTCCAAGATATGGCAACGATGTTTGTACCATCAAAAACTCCCTCTTACTGCATAACGTAGAGCTTGGAAACAGTGCTTTCTTTACCCTATTGAGCACATGTGTAAATTTTGCACGTGAAATGCCAGCAGTGCGTACTGCCAAACTGATGTTGTCTAACTCGATGTTTACCAGCTCTTGCGTAGAGGATAGTAAGTATGCCCTTCTGATGAGGGAGGCAATGGCAGCATTAACGTATCGAGAAAGCTGAAAGGCCTCTGCTGGTATAATGTGCGGAGCTATGCTAGATTTGTGATTAACCGAGAATTGTGGCCCTTCTGAAGATTTATGTATATGCAGGTCTAAGAATGTTATTGCCACATTGCTTTCTTTCTCCCAAGTGAAACTGGTGGAAGAATATATACTTGAGAGTTGTTGCATAAAGGTGAGGAACATCTCATCTGTGTCTTCCCATGCTATGAGGATGTCATCAACATAAGGCAAATACAGCCTCGGGTAGTGGATGGCAAGCGCAGAATTGAACGTTCTGTGCTCAATCTCTCTCATAAAAAGTTCCACTAGGATTGCAGATAAAAGAGAACCCATAGAGACCCCTTGCTTTTGTAAATAGATTTTTTGGTTAAAATGAAAGTAATTGTACTCGGTGATGAAGGTGAGCGCATCACGTATATCAGGCACCTGTTGGATGTTAAAGCCCTTTTTTAGAAGGAGAGAATTAGCCAGCATTACAGCCTCAAAGGTGGGCACTGAAGGATATAAAGATATTACATCTAGCTTGTAGAAGGTGTAGGTGTCTGGCCATAGTGTACCAATACTTGAAGCGATGATGGATTTAGCTGTTACAGAAGAGGGAGTAACATATGGAGAGTCCGGAACTATTGTGTGAAGGAATTTAGCAAGCACTTTTTCTAAATAATAGATAGGGTGAGACCATTTGTTTACTAGAGGACGTAACGGCCAGTTTGTCTTATGGGTTTTTGGTTGAAAGAACAACCTAAGACACGCAACATTGGAGGGGGGATCTGCCCGGTGTCAGGTCATGCTATGCAAGCATTTAAGCAAATACTAGCATTCTCCAGTATGCATATAGCATGAGCCTGGTTCTGCACATGCTCCAACCCACACATCACAGAGCTTACTGCTCGTTTGGTTTTCGAATTATATTATATTATATTAATTTGTTTTTTTTTTTTTTATGAAAAATATTATTTATCGTTAAAAATTATGACATAATTGAAACTATGAAATCATATTTGAACTAATTGAAACTATGAATTATATTTGAATATTTGTTTCATGTTCTTAACGGCTTTGACAAAAGTCTCAACCTAAAATTTTATGCGTTATATTGTACATCAGATTATTTCTGTTTAATTTTCCGGTAAATCTCTATATTTGCCTTATGACGATGACTGTAAGTTCATCGAAAGTGCTTGTGATAAAAAATGTAAATGTGATGCCAACCTCAGTGTCTTCTCCATTTTATTTTATTATACAGTATTTTGGCATGATAGTCATCCTATTGATGACTATACTGTATATTTGAATTTCACAGTCAGATTTTGTTATTAAATGAAAATGAACCAAAAATAAAAAATTTAAGATAAAAAGTTTTTATTTTGGAATATATTGATATTTCAAAATTACACGTGTATAACTAAATTGTTGATTATTTGAAATGGAATCACCAATTTTTTTTTTTTTTTTATGTATAGCATTGTAAAAGTAATTTTAAAAATTACCCAGTCCTTAATTTATTGCATTAGTATAATCTGTTATTTCTTTTTTATAGATCTTGAACTTCTATTTTAAATATTCTCATTATTTTTTCACGGTTAATTTATAATTAATTTATTAATATGAGTTGTTTTTTTTTATGAAAAATATTATTTATCGTTAAAAATTATGACATAATTGAAACTATGAAATCATTGTAAAATCACATCTGCTGTTAAAAGGAAACTTTTATAATAAATTTCTTTTTAAATTACAATAGTTTGAGTTATTTATTTTACAAATTATTATTGAATTTGTTTTCTTAAAAAAATTTGATTACAAAAAACTTCTTTTATTCCAAATAATATACTAGCTGCAAATGTCTGGCATCGCTTGGGCTTTTGAAGAAAAGGTGGATTGATGAGGTCGATTTGGAAGAGGGTGTAAAAACAATCCTTAGTAACTAAAATGTATATTTATTGACCTCAATATTTACAATAATGAAACTGCAAAACTCAAAAAACAATTGCTGGTACTAAAGCTAATGCAGTGGGACTCTGACATGTTTGTCCCACAGACTTAACATTGTATATTTGCCACTTCACCACACCTGAACACCACACAATGGTTCACTTTGCACCTTTCTCAAATCTCTGTTCAGCAACATCATCTACAGCAGGGGTCAGCAACCTTTTAGATATCGCGGACCACTAATATAATTTTTAAAGATACAAATTTTTACGAGCATTGAGTATGGTATACGTATATATGTTTATCTATATTAATAATTTTATATGCATTATATATACAGTAGATCCCCCTATAACACGGGTTCCTATAGTTCGGATTCCTATATGACGACGAAAAAATTGCGACGGTATCCGTACAAACATGGTTAAAAAAACTCCTATAATTCAGTAAAACATCATCGGGCAGCCGAACTACTTTTTCCGCCGTCCAGCGCCACGCTACGGAGAGTTTAGGCGGGTAAGTTCAGTTTACTATCGTCTGTACAGTATTATATATAAATTAGGTACTGTACATATAATTATATATACAGTACCTAATTTATATATAAACTTAATTTATTGTAACTTTATTATAATCTATAATATAATCGAGATGGGTTGATAATAATAATGATAATAATAATAAGTGCAGAACCCAAATGGTTAGGAGTTGGAAGCTGAAATTTGGTACACAGATAGGGTACGTCACGAAAACGCACACTAAGAAGGGATTTTTCGAAATTCCTCCCGGGGGGGAGAAAGACAGGATTAAGGCTTAACACTTCCATCAACAATGGAAGTGTTAAGTAACAATGG